AAAAAAATAATCTTTTATATAATAAATTTTTAATTAAATTTATTCGCTTGACAACAATAATTAAGATAATAAATTTATATATATATTCATAATAAAAAAAAAATATCTCTTGACATCTATCCTTAAAACCTTATATAGAAATATCATCCAAATTCCTGAACTTCCCGAGGTGAATCACTTTCACAAATTCAAGCCATGTGCTGCCCCTCGAGGTGGGCTGTCTGCTGGCGCATGCGGATTAGTGGTCCAATGAGCGTGCAAACCATCCCCTTCCAACGGAACAAACAATAATAATAAAAAAAAAGACATAAAATTCTGTGTCAACCCCAATGGGAGGTCAATGAAGACACATAGATAAGGATGTAAACGAGCCGACCCTAGTCCTGCTTAAACCGAGTTCATATTCAAAAGAATCAAAACTCAACACAAAAGTCAAATCCCTTCCACCCAAGTAATTGAATATATTTATAAAATAAAAGATCTAGCTGGATGGATCCTGTGTAATAAATTCGCCAGCAAGATCTTTATGTGAGATTTAAGATTTTGCGATGAGAGATTCCCGGCACTTGCATATTATCAACTTGTAGTAACAACAACAACAGTCTAATAAAGGTTAAAATAAAGCCATTAAGTTCATGTTTGGTGAGTGATGGTTGATATTCTTTAGTCTGACTATAAAATAAGATAAATTTAAGAAATCTACTAAAAAATAGTAGATGAGCCTTAATGTTCATAATATTTTACTAAACTAAAGGATAAATGATGAATATGTATTCTTTTCAATTTGTAAGAAATATGTATTTCTTCATTTTTCACTAATGTAAAAGGAAAATTAGATATTAAGACTTAACTATTCTTAAATTCTTACGGAAGTTCTCAACTTTGACTTATTTTAATAGTTTGACTGAGGAATATCTATTACTATCAACCAAACAAGCCCTAAGGGTACCGGAATGTTACCTTTCCGCCCTCTGATCTTGAACAATATCTCTAGAGCTGATTGACAACCATTTGTACGTTTCAAACTTTCCTACCGTTTTACTTTACTTCATATAATAATCATGAAAGGTGGTACTATAGGAATAACTTTTTTGTTTCACTTTTTTATACAACTTCTACATGTGGATGCATTTAATATCACGGGTCTTACATGAATTAAAAGAACCAATTATTTTAATGATACATCAGGTTATACAAAAAAATAAGACAAAATAGTTGTCCCAATAGCATTTCCCAATCATGAAATAGCCATGAAATAAATTAAACATGATTTTAGAGATAATCAAATGCAATGTTAGAGACCATCATTCTATGATTTGGTAGGATCTAATTCTTGTATAACAATGATTGTACTAATAAAGTATAACAACTCATAAACATAAAGGTGACAACAATAAGCCTTGTAATGTTGATGCAACAAAAGGAAAATGTCAACCATGCATTTCCTTGTTTCTGATAATGCAATGGTGCATGTATTTGCATTCTTATGCATTTCAAAAATTATCCTATCACTTATTTTTGGCCCAAACATATCATAACAATTAACTCATGCAGCTAACAATTGGTTTTAATTATAAAAAAGAACTGACTTTCATTCTTTCCTTCTTGCATCTATTCTCAAAACTTCATCAAGATTCTTTCTAATTCTACCTTGCACGGTTGTACCTTAGGTGCTCAGTAGTTGACTTGTTGCTATGGGTCTTGTGTGACATGTCTAACGTATTTTTCTTTAGCTTCGTTTAGGAGTGCTGTTCTGTAGCTTGTAGTTGTGGTTTTTCTATCATTTAATATTTCTAAAATATTAATTAAAATTAATAAAAAAATATAAACATTAATTAGAATTAATTAAGAATAATAATTTTACATTTTTAGGTAAGGTGCTTAAGCCTTCCCAAAGGAATCCTCTATCTCAATTTCATTTTGAAATATAAAAGTTTTTATTATAAATTTGCAGCGCTTTGCATGAGAAAGATGACAAAGACGAGAAGAGGATCACCCGGGCAAAATTCTTTCTTATTGCCTTAGTTTGCAGTTTTTCATGGTACCTGTTCCCAGGATACCTCTTCACAACCCTAACAAGCATCTCATGGGTTTGCTGGATTTTCTCCAAGTCTGTAACAGCCCAACAAATTGGTTCAGGCATGAGGGGACTTGGAGTTGGTGCCATATCACTAGACTGGACTGCAGTGGCATCCTTTTTGTTCAGCCCGCTCATTAGCCCATTCTTTGCTATTGCCAATGTTTTTGTGGGCTATGTGATGTTAATATACATTGTAATACCTATAGCTTACTGGGGTTTAGACTTGTACAGCGCAAGCAGGTTTCCCATATTCTCCTCACACTTGTTTACTGCCAAAGGTAAACCCTATGACATAACAGCTATTGTTAATGACAAGTTTGAGCTAGATAAAGTGAAGTATGAGGAGCATGGACGGATTTATTTAAGCATGTTTTTTGCTCTCACCTACGGGTTTGGTTTTGCTACCATTGCCTCCACGCTTACACATGTTGGTCTCTTCTATGGAAGGTAATATCTATGATATTCTTAGTTGCTTCTACTTATGATATTTCTCTCTTAAGACTATGAATGTGAATCTAATATGGTAAGCATATTTTGCTGGGAAATCCAAAATTCATTTATATTTGACAGTTTAATTAGACATGTTTCATATCCAGTGTTATTTTACTCTCCTTTTTGAATTATATTATATGAGTTAGGATTTACTTACACATAACTCTTATCCTACACATAACTCTTATCCACATTACTTACACAGAATCTTGATCATTCATCTCTCTAACATGAATGGTTGATGAAATTTATCCACTTTATATCTAATTTTTTTAAAGACAATTGTGTTTTTTTTTTTAATCTAAAAAGTCATGATAAATTTCAATCTTTTATAGTAGAGAGTTGAATGGTCAAGATATCATGTAAGTGATATGTGTAAAAGTTGTATATAAGTGGATCCTAACTCATTATATATAACAAAAAGGTTATTTAGTTAAGATATTAGTTTTACCAAATATATTTATGTATTAAATGTTATTCTATTATCAACATATTCTTCTTCACCAGACGCTACAAGCGCCAAGATAACATCAGTAATCATAACTTAAACCTTTAATGCATTTTTTGGTCTATACTTGATTAGAGGGGTTGCAACTTACATGTAGTGGTGTAAATGTAAGACTGTTTATGTTCATAGTATCAGATAGAGGCAAAGAGGATAAATACCCTTCAACAAGTAAAGAATGTAAAAAGCAACTTCTTTTTGAAAGGTTAAATACAACAATGTCAACTTCGTGTTCAGTCCAAAAGAAATGTCAATTTTTATGTATGACTGTGATGTAACAGGGAGATATATGAGCGCTATTGTGCTTCTTACAAAGGCAAGGAGGATATCCATACAAAATTGATGAGAAAATACAAGGACATACCTTCCTGGTGGTTTCACATTCTCCTTGCTGTGACTGTAGCAGTTTCTCTTTTACTTTGCATCTTCCTGAATAGACAGGTTCAGTTGCCATGGTGGGGACTCCTCTTTGCCAGTGTCATGGCATTTGTTTTCACACTTCCGATCAGTATCATAACTGCCACAACAAACCAGGTAATCAATCAGATGCTCCTTCTACCATTCTTTAAGTTAATCTGCAGTAGAATACATGATTTTCAATCACCTACTGGTCTCTGCTAATGTTTTATCTGATTCCTGCCTTTCACAATGAAGTAGTTCACAAACAATAATCTTTAACCTACGTCATGCAGAAAAGCACAACTTGTTTTTACCTAAGTTGAAGCTGATATTTTATTACTATGCAGACACCAGGTTTGAACATAATTACAGAGTATGTAATGGGCATCATATATCCGGGAAGGCCTATTGCAAATGTATGCTTCAAAACCTATGGGTACATGAGCATGGCCCAAGCAGTCTCCTTCCTCAATGATTTCAAGCTGGGACACTATATGAAGATCCCTCCAAGATCCATGTTCTTAGTTCAGGTACATTTTTTTTCTCCTTTTTTATTTTCTTTTTCTCTTTATAAAACGTTTGTATTCTCGTTTTCTCTCTATCAACATATAAAATAATGAATTTAAGCCAGTCTGCCTGTTTGGAAAACCAGGTAAGTTAATATCTCAAGCAACTAAAAAATGATGCTTATAAAATGTAGCAACATGAAAATGCTATGTTAGATTCAGAGGTTTCAAATAACCTAAAGCGCAACCTAAATTGACAAACAAAAAGTTGATGGTGGTCAAGAATTTTACCTCGAGACACTGTGCTTTTCACTAGAAAAGATTGTTTTAGTTCAACAAAATAAGCCATTCTTAAATATCCAATATTGACGATCTTGTCCAATATTCTGGTATTTTACTGAATTTTTTCCCCATACCAGCTGATACAGTTTGTTATTTTTTCTTATGGATTCCACCTGGCTTTGCATAGTTCATAGGAACAGTTCTTGCTGGAACAATCAACCTTGCAGTTGCATGGTGGTTACTGAGCTCTATCCATAATATATGCCATGATGATCTCCTTCCCCCTGACAGTCCCTGGACATGTCCTGGTGACAGAGTCTTTTTTGATGCATCAGTAATATGGGGTTTACTTGGTCCCAAAAGAATCTTTGGATCTGAAGGCAACTATCCAGCAATGAATTGGTTCTTCCTGGGAGGTGCACTAGGACCCATCATAGTTTGGTTGCTGTACAGGACATTCCCCAAGCAATCTTGGATTCCCCTAATTAATCTTCCAGTACTTCTTGGAGCAACAGGAAGTATGCCACCAGCAACAGCAGTAAACTACAATTCCTGGATCCTAGTTGGAACTATTTTCAACTTTTTCATTTTCCGTTACCGAAAGCAGTGGTGGCAAAGGTACAACTACATTCTCTCAGCAGCTCTTGATGCTGGGGTGGCTTTCATGGCAGTAGTATTGTACTTTGCAGTGGGCTTGGAAAATAAAAGTGTGACTTGGTGGGGAACAAATGGTGAACACTGTGACTTGGCAAAATGTCCAGCAGCCAAGGGAATAGCAGTTGATGGTTGTCCAGTGAAGTAATAATGGAAGTACAATAGCAGTTGATGGTTGTCCAGTGAAGTAATATTCTATGTATTCCTCTTTTATAAGTATTCCTCTTTTATGTGTCTCCTCTGTCAAATGTTGGACAGCATAGAACTAGCAAGCATTAAAGCACTTCAGTTAATGAAATCAAGCATAGCAGAAATCTGTGATAAATGATAGATATTGCTAATAAAAGCTTCCCCTTACATTCAGCTGCATCCTCTAAAATCTGTCCTTCAATTTAAGAGCAAGCTGTGAGCAACTTTTCATCCATGTAAGATAACAATCTTGACTCCCACATTGTCATGTTACAAACTTGTAGTGCATTGAGGACACCGGCCACGATGCATCTTCAAGGGAAGGGGAAACCATGACAGTTTCCTTGGAGAAGTTTGTTTTTTTCAACAAAATTATCTATTCAATGTGATCACATTTACCATTATCTAGATCTCCAATTCCAATGAATGTGAGCAACGAAATAAGATAATCAGACTGCTACTTACATTGGGAAATTTCACACCTGCAAGCTTGCAAGAAAATTAGAAAAATACTCACATACGGCATTAGAGCCACTCTTCTCAAGATTAACATTAAATGTGATCCTTGATGAATATTTAACTTGTCGAAATACCCATTTTTGGTGATCAAATGATTGTTCTGTCATCCAGATAATAAGGAATACACATCAAACACATGTATTAAACCAATACTGTATAATCTACTTAGCAAATGAACTCACAATGCAGGAAATGCGATCTCAACTTACTGACACACTGATCTCCGCGAAAGCTTTGCAGCAAACCCTGTTGGACAAAGAAAATCAAGAATATAACATCTCTCTAGTCCTTGACATAAAAAACTTCAACACTGAAAAATCCAAACAAAATAAATTAGAAATTCAGAATCCCTGATTGTTGAACATTAAATAATTTGAACCTATTTTACTCATTCCATTTCCAACATTTCCTCAAAACAATTTCAGCAAATCTGAATAACCATACTGTGTTTTTCTCGTTTGTAAGTACCTAATCAGATACATGCAGCATGCAATGTTGGAATTCAAATAATTCATATTCAAAAGAATTCAAGATTTTCGCTTCTTTATGGTTCCTGCATTTTCTAAGCAGTGGAACAAAACTTGAGAGCAATGGAGGACCTGAGAAGTTCAACGGAGGAGCAAGGAAAAGTGAGTCGAGGAAGATCGAGGCAGATTGGAAGAGGTGCGAGGCGTCGGTTCGGAAGCTTCGAGACTTCACATGAGGAGTTAGTAGAGATAGCGCCGTCATTTTCCCGGCAATCTTGTGAGGCGTTTGCGATCTCCGGACGGCACTGTTTGGATGGAGGGAGTTGGAGTGGACGGGGAGGTGAGTGAGGGGGAGCTCAGATGCCTTAATTTTATTTCCGAGGGGTTTATTCCTTTCTTTTTCCTTTTTTTTTAACCTTCTTAAAAAATATAATTAAAATTTTTATTTTAACTTTAATTTTAATATATAAAATTAATTAGTTATAATTAGTTTTTTTAAACTTATTTAATTAAAAAAATATTTCTTAAAAATGTAATTCATATATTTTTAATATTAATTAATAAACACGTGTCTTTAATTTTTATTCTTTAACAATTACTAATAATAAAAAATATTTTTAAGTAGTAGAAATTTTTTAACTTATATCTTAAAGGCATAAATTATAAATATAATTATTATATCTTTTATCATTAATTTATATGAAAAAATAAAATCTAATTAAAGTTTTATTAATTGTCTTATTAAATTATTTTATATGATATTAATATTAAAAATAAATTTATTTTTTAATTTTTATATAAATTAATAATAAAAAATATAATAAATATATTCTTAATTTATAGTTTAAACACAAATTAGAAACACTCAATTAATATTAATTTTTTACTCTCCTTCTTTTGCCATCTTTTTCTTTCATTTCCTTTACCAACTTTTATTCAGCCATATTCTCTCGCAAACTGACGCTCTCTTCGGTTCAGTGGCTTCTCTGTTAATTACGGATCATCTGCCTTGTCTCTGTTCGGTTCGGTTAGCTTGCGTGGATGGACCGCTGAAGCCCAAGATAAAATCCAAATCCTATGTACACGTCTCTAGCCCAAATATCTTGGAGGCTTGCCCACTCGAAGCCTCGAACCCGATCAATTTCTCAGCATTTCGCATGTAGTGATATTTATTTACTGCAATAAATCGTAAAAATGTAAATAAGATAATTTAATGGTTAAAAATTTAAGATTTTAAATTAAAAATTTTAATTTTGAATTTTGAATCGGGTGAGAAGGGATTTAAAATGGAAAAAAGATATCTTCCCTTATATATTACATAATCAGATGTATTGAAAAAATAAATAGTAATTCAATTTTGATTTCTACAAAAAAAAATTTGTCTTAACATTAAAAATACCACTCTTTATAAATATCTTTAAAAATCAGTAGTTATATTTAATTTTTTTTCATATATAGATTATGTATGTTAATGTTTAAATTGATTTAATATAAATAATTATTTAATTAAGATATTTTATATTTTTAATAAAATTTTCATAATTAATAAATTAATTATATATATTTAATTAATTTAAAAATTAATATATATAATATATATGAATAGAAAACTAAATTTAATTATTTGTTTTTAAAAATATTTATTGAAATGTAATGTTTTTAAAATTACAACTCCAAGTTTTCTATAGGTACTATTCCTTTTATTTATAGGGTTTGATAATTTTTTTAAAATATTATTATTATTATTATTTACAATTCAAAGTACATTAAACTTTAAAAAATAACTATTAGATTAAGAAAAATCCCCTCATTTATGGAGTCTCTCTTAATTTAATTAGTAGTTTAGTGCAATTTAACTTAGATTATATCATTATTAAAAAATTTCAAATTAAACAAACATTTTTAATTTTTCTAATTGAAAAATGACAATTTCATTAATTATAATAAATTAATGTCGTGTAATTTAGTCTAACACAAATTGCAATGTTAATTTATAACCCTTGATTGGGAAAGGCCTAAGAACATTTTCTCCCAAAATTAATGACTAATATTTTGAGTTGGGCCACAAAAAGTATTATATATATATGAACATAAAATGATAAATCAGGTCAACTTTGCCACCTACTTTTGATCGTAACAATGATTTCGTTTTGGAAATGGTTAACATGGATTCTTTTTTTAACACAACATGTTGCTTGTAAAACTTATTTTAATTAATATTATATTTTTTTATTAATAAAAAACAAAACAACAATTTTACCATTACCTAACATAGCACTATACTCATTAGAGATGGTATCTTTAATTATTCAACTTTTTTCTCCAAAAGTTTTTTTTTTTTTTTTGTTATTGCACCATACAACAGTGCAGAAGTATTTACTTTACTTAAAGTAAGAAGGGTGAATTTTCTTAACGACTCTTTTCCTTCAAACAATCAACTTTCATGTAGGATAACTAGAGGAACATCAATTATATGTTAAACATGAGCCTCAAACTAGATCAAATGATGTTGCAAGAAGAAGAGATGCTTTCCTATAAAATGGGTTATAAACTTGTCTTGGACAAATCTCAAAATTTCTTATATTTAGGGTTACAATGAAGTTTGTTAATTAAATAGAATATGAAAAAAAAAAAGACAACAGACAAAAAATAAAATTGCGTTACAGAACTAGAAGGCATATTAGGCTAAAGAAAGCTACAAATCTCGACAAATTTAAATAACCAACTACTGGTAAACTTTAACTGAATTATTTACATAAATGTAAATTAAGCATTTTGAAGATAAAATAAAGCTTTGCAACATAAAGTAGTGAGGTTGCAGTAACTATAATGGAATTCATTTTCAGGATTGAAATTTGATTACATTGATAGAATTAAAATGTGTTTATAGAACAACTAATTTAAAAAAGAACTTAAGAAGACAAAGGACATATCCTACATAAAACAATTTAAACTTAAAACAAGAGAGTTTAGTAGCTAATCTCCTAACCTATAAGCTAATTGAGAGCTTGGTTAAGGCATTTTGCAAGGTAGATTGTGTAGTTTTTTTGTTGAGAGAGACAGACCTCCTTTGGATGTGTTGTTTCTTCATAAAACGTGGTCAAAACTTCTTGTTCCGACTAAATATGTCAATAACAAACTTAGTTAAATATTACTTCAAAACTCGTCATTTGTTTGCCACTTTAAAAGATTAGCCTCTCGTGTCTCTTATTTACTGAACTTAACCAGTAACTTTCCTTAAAATTCAATTATTATCTCAATTAAAATCAAATAATATCATATTATTATGAGATAATTATCAACAATATTTATAGATTTACTATTTCATACAGCAACTGTTAGTAAGATCTTTCGTTCTGTAAATCACAAAAAAATTAAAATCTAATGTGATTTAATCATTAGCACTTATTTAATCATTAACACTTATTTAGTCACATGACATGTAATATCACCTAATAATTTTATAAGTTATTGTGTAAACATAACATTACAAACATAAAAATAACTAAAGTTTCTTTTTATTTTTTTTTAAAAGAGAGTACAATTTTAGGTAAAAAGATAAAAAATTTTAGCATGACAGTATTATGGTTCGAAACTTTGCTTATTGCAATATTGCCTGATGCAATAAAATAAATAAAGTAGGGAATCCTATTCCAAAGCCTGTCCAACAACAGAGCGTTGGTGGCGCTTGATATTGCGACTGTAAACTATCTATTTATAGGATGATTGGGCTGGACTTTTGAAAAATTTTCAATTAGGTCCTTTAAATTTTATATTTTATATTTTTATATTTAAATTCTTAATTTATTTTCTGTTTTTCTATAAGTCACTAAATAAAGTTAATGATTGAGTAATAATTTTTACTTTTTGTGTTAAAAAATGTGAAAGGTTACTTTAATTTAAATCACGAATGTCATGTATTTGATTTTTATTAATTTGTTTTAAATTATGATTTTTCTAAGGTATAAGTTGAAAAAACCATTTAAATTAAAAATAAAAGTTGTCAAATTAATCTAAAAAGTGAGTCAACTTTCATATTTTTAATACAAAAGTGACAACCATTAACCATTAATAATCATTCATTTTTATCACAAAGAAAAACCAATTTATTTTAGTATATTTCTTGATTAATATTTCATTTTTCCCACCTAAAAAGGGTTTTTGGTTTTACCACTATGAATGATTTGAAAAAAATAATGAGTTAATTACGTAAGAGTAAACATGGAGTGTGGATATGATCATACATGAAAATGTTAAGGTCCCACATGAAGGCCAAAGCCCTTATTTGCACCATCCATTTATTTCCTTTTCGTGGTTAACACATTCTAAAATTTTTCCTCCATATTCATATCCTCAACTTTTCAAAACCCGTAAAAAACCCAATATTTTAACGTGCCGTTACGGAATCGTTAAAAAATACATTACGTGGCACCCAAAAATTGACATGACATTATGTGGCAGTAGTAATCCAATATAGATCCATTTTGTTGATGATGTGGCTTATTTTTTGCACACGT